TTTTATTTACAAAATAAAAGACCCCAATAATTACAATAAACTAAACAATCTTGACAAAAGATTTTTAAAAACTCCACTCTTTCAAAATAATAATTGGCAACCAAATATAAAAGATTGGAACTTTGGAAATTTGAATTTTTTAAGAAGAACGAAACGAAAATATTGACTTTATTTTTATGTGAAATATTTCAAAACTTATTTGGCATTGCACGTACTAACTTGGTTAGCTACCCGCCGAAACGTGATCTAATCAGACTAATTAAATAAGACGATCTCTGGTCATCGAGGCTAAATCCTAAAAAGACTTAGTTTTCAATCAGGATCCGGTAATAAAGTGCTAACATGAAATCCCACAATGCAAAGCTGTCACAGTATTCCTTCAATTGACGTGACGCATAAGCAATGACCCTTCCTTTCTGCATCAATACACAACCAAGTCCTAATCGTGAGGCATCACTATAAACTACAAAATCCTCACTACCTTCAGGTAAAGAAAGAATTGGTGCATGTGTCAAACAATCTTTCATAGTCTGGAATGCCTTTTCCTGATCTTTGGTCCACACAAATTTTGCATCTTTGTGGGTAAGGGAAGTGAGAGGAACAGCAATCTTAGAGAAATCCTGAATGAAACGTCGGTAATATCCCGCTAGACCGAGAAAACTCCGAATCTCTGAGGCATTCTTGAGTTGCTCCCATTTTTGCACTGCTTCAATCTTGGCAGGATCCACGGAGATACCATCACCGGACACAGTATGTCCCAAGAATTGTACCTGACATAGCCAAAATTCACATTTTGAAAATTTAGCATAAAGTCGTTCTTTTCTCAACAACTCCAGCATCTGTCGAAGGTGTGTTGCGTAATCGGTCTCAGACTTCGAGTACACAAGAATGTCATCAATGAATACAATCACAGACTTATCGAGCATCGGTCGACATACTCGATTCATTAAGTCCATAAATGCAGCTGGGGCATTGGTGAGATCGAAAGGCATCAGCAGAAATTCATAATGCCCGTATCTCGTACGGAAAGCAGTCTTAGGTACATCCTCCTCCCGTACCTTTAGCTGGTGATAACCTGATCTAAGATCAATCTTGGAGAAGAACCTTGCACCTTGAAGCTGATGGAACAAATCATCAATACGGGGTAATGGGTACTTATTCTTAATTGTTACCTTATTGAGCTCACGATAATCGATGCACATCCAGAAAGATCCGTCTTTCTTCTTGACAAACAACACCGGACCACCCCATGGTGAAGTGCTCGGTCGTATGAAATCTTTATCCAATAGCTCTTGTAGTTGTTTCATCATTTCTTTCATTTCTGGAGGCGCTAGATGATAAGGAGTTTTCGCGATCGGTGCTGCACCCGGTATCAAGTCGATTCTAAACTCCACTTGCCTATCTGGTGGCAATCCAGGCAAGTCTTCAAGAAACACGTCCGGGTAATCACGTACTATTGGTACATTGTCCAGAGTCTTCTCCTTCATTTCCTTTATCGAATCTAGGACATACGCTAAGAAAGACGAGTATCCTTTAGTTAAATAATGTCGAGCCTTGAGTACGGAGATTAATTTCAGGTCGATCACTCGTTGTTCACCATAGACATACAAGAATTCTCCATTTTCCATCGGAATTTGTATCATTCGCCGCGAGCAAATGATTTTTGCTCGGTTCTTCGTCAACCAATCCATACCAATTACCACAGCAAAGTTATGAATATCCAATGGAATCAAATCGACCGTGAACTCATGATCATCTAAGTCTAATTTACAGTCTTTATAAACTTTATCAGCTTTGAGTGTTACTCCGTTCGCAGTGTCGACATTAAAAGGTTTTTCAAGCATGATTGGCACCAAATCGAGGTACTGAGTATAACAAAGTGACACAAAAGAATTCATGGCTCCCGAGTCAAATAAAATACATGCAGGTTTGTTATTGAGAAGGAAAATACCTGTTATAACGTCCGGTTCCTTCAATGCCTCCTCTTCTGTGATTTGAGAAGCCCTGGCTCGTGCCCTAGGCACTTCCCCCTTTTGGGTTGAAGTACCCATTCTCGTTGGTTGTTGTACCGAGGCTTTGCTTTCAACCCTTTTTATACGGGGACAATCTTTAATGCGATGTCCTAACATTCCGCAGGAATAGCATGCACGATCTCTCTAGGGACAATTCATCCTAACATGACCCGCTTCACCGCAACAAAARCATTTAATGACAGATCTATCCGTATCACACCGGCTTTGGTGTGTCTTTCCGCACCTCCGACAGTCTCTTGGTGTGCTCGACTGTAACGTGTAGGCTTGAGAAGGAGCACGAGGATTGTTCTGAGTCTGCGCCCCTCTTGGTGTAAATAGTCGTGATGGTTTATATGTCGGTGCTGAAAAGATCCTGTCAGTTCTTTGTCGTTTTGGTGTGGAAACGGTATCATCGGGTATCGTTAAATCATGTTCGCGGCATCGAGCATATTCGACAGCTTTACCAAAACTCAGAATATCACGGTTTGCAACGAAGTCACGGATTTCTCGTCGTAGCCCATCGACAAAATGGTCAATCTCGTCTTGGTCAGAAGTCATAAACCGTTGGGCAAATCGTGCCTTTCGGTTAAATTCAGTCTCATACTCAATCACAGTCATATTTCCCTGCTTCAGATCCATAAATTCTTTCTCAAGGCGTCTCTGAAGGTCCGTTGGACAGTATTGCTCAAAGAATAAAGCTCGAAATTCTATCCACGTCATATTCTCTTGGGTAATTGGGTCAAGAGATTCGAACGTATTATCCCACCACACCAGTGCTCGGTCGATGAACATCGCGGATGCGTACTTCACCTTATCATCATCGAGTACTCGAGTGATCCGAAACACCTTTTCGGTATTCTGTATCCATTGCATTGCAAGTACAGGATATGATTGTCCTGTATATTTTGTCGCTCCACTGCTTCGAAAGGTTTTAAATGAGACTCGTTCGATTTTGGTTCGTGGCACGTCGTCATTAATTGGACCCTTACCTCTATCATCAGGTTTTAAAGCATTATTACATTCACGATCTTCCGTTAACCGTTTCTCAAATTCACCTCATTGTTGTTCTAACGCTATTTGAAGGTGATCCGTCATACATTTCATGAGCCTTTTGGTACGAGGTGATATCGGAGCATTCTCATTATTATTGGTGTTACCCATAATATTTTTTCCGACATTGGGGTCCGGTGGTGTAAGGCTCGCCTCGTCGTGATCCGACATCAAGCTGAAAATGTAACATAAATATATCAATTATAATTCTAATCCCAGGTTCCCCATCCATCTTAGGTCTTTTCTATCGGTCCATATCCCGTATAGTCATCACTTAGTTACTATACAATGCTTAGGTTTAAGTCTAAATACCATTTCTGATATTCAGATCGCTTAAACTGCGGCTCCGATACCATAATTGTAACACCGGTTACGCTAATTCTTAATAAAAAGAAACTATTTATCCAATGGATTTTCCATAAAACAATCTCCAAGCAAATACGGGATATATGTTATAAATTTCCACCAAAAACAAAATAACATAGTCAGCAACCGACGATTTTCGGTACTATAAGTCGGATCCATAAAATACAAATATATCTACCCAAAAATATTATGTACCTAGATCCAACTCAAAACGATATATGCAAAACGAGTCCCAAAAAGATGTCCAAGATCTGAAATCCAACAAATAGATCTAAACTGTCTTATCTTTCCCTTGGGCATCTACCGACTTTCCTGAAAGAAAATTTATTATAAAAAAATAAGCGGCGAGGCTTAGTGAGATTATACCAAAGCTTATAATTATATATTTTATAAGAACAAAACAAATCATAGACGAAACAGAACAGAAAGAATCGCTTAATTATGAATTAGACCGTTAACTCAAAAAAAATAATCTGATAGAATTTTGCCCAGAGCGCAGTACAACCAGAGGCTCTGGTCGTCCAGAGGGCCTCTGGACCCGAAGGACTTGGAATCCAGAGCTCTGGTCGATAAAACCAGAGGGCCGCTGGTCCCAAAGGACTTGGTCTCCAAAGCTCTTGTCTATACAACCAGAGGGCCGCTCGTCCCGAAGGTCTTGGTCTCCAGAGCTCTGGTCTATACAACCAGAGGGCCGCTAGTCCCGAAGGACTTGGAGTCCATAGCACAATACAACCAGAGGCTCTGGTCTATACAACCAGATGCTCTGGTCGTCCAGAGGGCCTCTGGTCTCGAAGGACTTGAAATCCATGACACGATACAACGAGAGGCTCTGGTCTATACAACCAGAGGCTCTTGTCGTCCAGAGGCCCTCTTGTCCCAAAGGACTTGAAATCCATGACACGATACAACCAGAAGCTCTGGTCTATACAACCAGAGGCTCTGGTCGTCCAGAGSGCCTCTGGTCCCAAAGGACTTGAATTCCAAATTTGGCCATTTAATCACAACATAAAAACTTTGAATCTTCCATCCTTAACATACAGTGCTTATTAAGACTTTTTAAGATAATCAAGATCAATTRCAGCACTAAAWATGTATCCAACATCAAAGGTATCACTACCAAAATAGAGTATACATGTGCACCACACCCCTCTTCGTCTATAGGACCCGTGCAAAGTATTCACACCCGGCTCCTTACCAATCGGGATACGTGAATACAACAATCGGTATGCCACACCCAACCTCCCTCTCCTTGGGATATGTGGACATACACGATGCTACGGCTTATCACACGAAGTAATACCCGTAGATCATGGTTTATCAAAAAGCCAAATAAACAGTCTCGGATCCGGACTCAACCACAACGTAAAAGGATTAAGAGGTACCAAAACACAAATAGGGAGAAATTCACCTTACAAAAGAACACATGTAAAATCAGCAACTTTTCAGTAAGAGTTCATATACATATACTATATATAAGTATAAGCTCGGTATAAACTCACAGTGCTTTATTATAAACGACCGAACGCGGTAACATCCAATTCCAACCAACAATAGCATTAAACCTTCAGAGACCCTAAATAGCCTTAAAACAGCCCCTGGAGTAAACTTTTCAAGTATCAAAAACCAACTATATCCCAACCTTAAGTTATACACTTTAGATCTTGATTATGCTATTTACACTTTCTTGTACAGCCCTCTGTTCAACCCCTGTTTTACCACACTTAGACCCAGATTTAGCCATATTACTCACTGCATGTTGCCGATTTACACAATTTAGGTTCAAATTCACACATTAATCAACATTATCTTTTATAATCTTTCAAATGCAGAACCTAGCCTCTAATTTAACATTTCTTCTTGAAATAAACTTGTAATTAGAAGCATAGCTTTGATGATTAGCACATAATCGTCAAGAATCTAACATGGATTGATAGGATCGATTAACTCAGTTTTAGATATTAATCACTTACTCTGGATGATCTATTTGACAGTATTAGTGCAACGGAAGCAATAAGAATATGAAGAGTAATAATCAATGAAGAACACAGTTGATGAATGAAGAACACGAG